TTTCATTCTGATATAATGTATGTTATAATTCTCAGCAATCATTAATGTTAAGTTTTTTTTTAGTATCTTAATACTCTGTAGTGGAGAAATATATGAAGTTTGTTTTTTTTTAGTATCTTAATACTCTGTAGTGGAGAAATATATGAAGTTTGTTTCTATTGAGATAAAGGTAGATTTTAATCAGGGGTTGTTTACTGGTCCTGAACCAAGAAAACTAGGACAAGGTCAAGGTCACATGGACCGAAGTAAAAAAAAAAAATCAGTCCATTTTTTCGTATGGGTGAAATAAAGAGGGTTACTATCTATACTTAGCACAAAGGTATTTTATGATCAAATGATGTATGTCCTAATTCTGAAGTAAGGAAATTTAGACAAGGTCAAACAAATTGAAAATGTAAAATTAAATTCAAACCTGATTATCTTGAACTCACTGTGGCCTAGAAAATACTTCAAGATTATATTCAAGGAATTTGAGATATCGAGGTTAAAAAATGGTCGGGACTTCCAACTTCTTTGACATATCCATATCCATGGTATTTAAGAGATATCTGTTTTCAAGATACTGACGATAAACTATACTGCCATAACCTTGTAATAGGGAAACATTACAAGGTCATACTTGGCACAAATTTAGATTATGGTAGGTATAATTGTCAAGGGGTATCTGTCAGGATCCTGAACTGATGTCATTTGGACAAGGTCAAGGTCAGTCCTATTATAATGGGGTCATTCTAGGGGATTGACACTCTAATATATAGTAAGTCAGGGATTTGGCCACCTTCAAAGAAACATGAGACTATACATGAAAGATCTGAATTGTTCAGGATGTTTAGTAAATGACTTTTTCTGAACTGACTTGTGTCTGAGCCAGAGGGTTCTCTATTATTCATGCATATATATTCACTTGAATCATTATACATGCCTTATGGTAAATCCTTTGTTCTTGTTAGATGTTGACTTGCAATTAGTTTTGATAATTAGTTTTCAGGTTTCTTTTATGTATAGATTTAGTAGTAATGCTTTTACTGGAAGGGATTCAAAAATGTTTGTTACATAGAATTTCTTGTCTTCAGTATTTACTGAAAATGTATGTATGTGCCACTATCTTGAGTTGTTCAGGTTTTGTATTTTTTTTTTTAAATCTACTGGGTTACAATTTAATTTAACTTATAATCATCATGATCATATAGTCCTGAAAAAGTAAATGCCATAAAGTGATCACACTATAAGTGGTATTAATTTATATGCAAATAATTGTTTTGCCATCTGTCCATCCATGTGTTTAGATGCAAGCTATGTTTAAAGACAGTTTTGAGGCCTGCTTCTAGCTTACTTTAAGCGCTTGCTTATATGCAGTAGCCAGACTTATAAGTGCATGTATTGTGTAAAGCTTTTCATGCCCTAACTTACAGGATTTAGTTTACAGTAAAACTCATTTAGTATGAATATGGATATAATGAATTTATGGGTATAGTGAAGTTTTTTTGGCCCCAGCAAAATTCTTAATAATTTCTTGTAAAAATGTATGGTTATAACAAACTCTGATACAATGAATTTAAAGATATAGCAAACTGATTTTGTGTCCTGTAGAAGTTTAAAAAAATATTTGCCGCTTTTATAATAAATTTTTTTAAGATCACAAAATTTAAAATATAAACTGACATTACCTTTTATAAGTCAGAAAACTTTAGTAATCCAAGAAGAGTTTCGTATTTGATTAAATTTGGAAGTCATGCATGAAGAAACATATATTGTGAATTAGCTATATATACTTTAACAAATTTGTTATATGGATATAATATATTATGGATATGGTGAAGTAAATTCACAGGTCCTCAGGACTTTGCTATATAACTGAGTTTTACTGTATTTGTAACTATATACACAAGATTTGTTTTTGTGAACTGTAGAGGATTTTAATTCTGATGTTTTGGATGCCGAATCTTACCTGCATTTTATGCTTAAGTGGTAAAGGCAGCATTTGTTCTCACTTTTCACAAATATACTGCATTGAAACACTCCTTATCAAGAATATTTATGGATCGATGGGTAATTAAAGGCATTATTATTTCAATTATGGAGTTTTTGTAAGAATGCCTTTAAATGGTGGTGCAGGTCTAAGGCTGCATGTATGTGGGGGTATAAGTTATGTCAATGTGCATTAAATAATTTTATTAATTTTTCACTTAATAAGGCAAAGTTTTCCTCTATTTGGTGAGACAACATTACAGTGCTGGGACATAAAAAGTATAGGTTTCTCTGAGTCTCAGATTTCTTAGAAAACACAGTATTAGGAGGGAAGTCTTCTCTCCAGAATTTCTGCAGATTAAGAAGACTATGAAAGTGACAACTATAAAACATTTTATTATTTTGACATTATGAAATAATATTGAGGAACCTGTTACTTACAGCAATGATAGAGTAACAGATGTTGAACATAAATAGAAGGACTCTGAGAACCAGAATTAGAACAATCGCAGTAAACTGTCAATGCGAACTGTGATTATGGATTAAGAACATGCCGTACGTGATGTAGTCTCTAAATATGGAAGTTTTATTGTAATTTTGAGTTTATTAAAATAAGGGGAAGGGGTTGAAAAGTAAAGTACATACTTTGAGAGTTACAGCGTTCTATGAATAGCTGTAAACAAACAAAGAAGTCCATTTGACACATTTGAAAGCTGATATTATAATATATGGATATGAATATTGTATTGCTCAATTAAATTTTGTATTGCAAAAAATGTTTAAATAGCAAAAAAATAAATATTGGATTGCTAGTATAAATAACAATAACAAAGCTATTATAATTTTTGTTATATTTAGAAGCAAAAATGGACTTGTTTGTTTTGGACCCAATATTCTATTTTCTGTTCAATGATCAATATTTGTTTTGATCAGAGGAAACTTGAAAAGACATTTGTGATTATTTGATCTGTCAAGCTCACTTCTATATATACAGTAGCTTAATTTTGAGAAAATTAAGAAGTATTAGGTGGGATGGCTTGTTTTTAGCTCTACTGGTCACAGAGACCAGAAGAGCTTATGCATTAGTGAGGCGTCTGTCAACTGTCTGTCTGTAAACAAACTCTACTCCTCCTACAATTTTGGATCAATTTCAATAAGACTTGGTACACAAGTAGACTATACTATAATATACAGTTATGGACTTCAGTGTAGGTCGATATGTAGTTATAAGGACCAATGTCATTTGATATTGACTGAAGACACAGATAGTGATAGTGACCGAGCTTGTGAGGTTGCTATTATTTTTTGTGTTGAGGTCAATATCACTTGAATTGGGTCCTAAATATAACCACATATTGATCATTCACTGAAGTCCATAATAGTTATATAATCACTCAAAATAGCGCTTAATTACCTTTTTAACCCGAAGTTCCTTTGAAGATATGTAAACTGAAACAGATGATACCTTCACTTTTGACTCAACATATATAAAGAACTCATAAAATAATAAGATTATTTTCAATATCAATCATTGTTCAATTATTATGGACAGATATTTCCTAAACTTGATCGTGAAACATCAATATAAACATTCAAATGTTGGAGCTAGGCAAACTTTCATGACCTAATAACTTCCCCTTTGGGCTTCACAGGATTTGGTCACATGACCAACCAAGTCCATTTCCCCGTGAACTTCTTAACATAGTTGTTTATTTCTCAATAAGCCTTGGTATACAAGTACACTATACTAGATACAAAATATTATGTATCAATTATTGATTTCAAGAAATATTGTTGCCATATGGTTAACAAAATTAGGAATTTCTGAAATTGATTCAAAATGCTTCTCTCCTCCTACAGTTTTGGTCCAATTTCAATAAGACTTGGGCACTCAAGTACACTATACTTTAGATACACCAAGTACATTCCAGTAGAGCTACAGTCTCCTCAGAGACTTCTTTTTTTATGCCCCGGCCATAAATTGGCCAGGGCATATAGTGTTACCCTGTTCCGTCATTCTATCATTCTGCCATTCTATCATCATTCAGTTTCCGTTCATTATCTCTGCAACAGTTGCACACATTCAACTCAAATTGAAAGTACGAGTAAAGTTCGAATACAAATTTAAAACTAAATATTGCATTTGAAATTTTGACTTCTTGCACGGGCATGAGTGGTGATAACGACGCATCTAGTTTTGCATGAAAACCTATACAATTGTTCATATATTAAGCTTAACCTTGACCAATTCGTAAATAATTATCGGTCTATAGACAAGCAATCATTCACTCCTCTTACACTGATGTATTTACGGTCACTGCACTGAATATTGCAGAAGAGAAGAAGAATAATTTTCTTCATGCTTAAGATGTTGATCTCTCTCAAAGTATCATTATCTGTTGATATGAAGTACTCCATATAATTGGTATTAAAATTGAAATATATATTATCAGTTTCAGAGACATACTAATTTATTAATTTGGTAACTGTCTGCTCAATTTTACATATGACGTCAATATAAAAAGCAAGTTCATTATCATGCCTTCAACTAGTATTTGCTGCAAGACGTATATTGTATAAATAAATCGGAGACCTGTTCATTGACATTAGAAATTAAAATTTTAAAAAATGAAGCGTACATTAACCACACAATTCTAAAGACGTACGTCATGGGTCTAATTACAATGTGAGAGATGTATTTAGAATTGCACATGCGCTGCTTGTAACGTAATGAACCAACTGCTGAGTGGAAAAAATCTCAAATTAGTATAGTAATTATCAAAGGTTTCCATCCCACACAGTCATAATAAAGAGCAGTCAGGAAGATGGACATGTGATGTTATAATACACTGTATGATATTGCAAATGATTATTTATTGGATTTTTATTAGAAAATGTATTATGCAGCAATGCTGGAATTCAATTACAGATCACAAGGTGTGTCATGTGATCTCATTAAAAACAATGGATCTGTATACATGGACTTGTGAAATTAAAATAATTTAGCAATGTTTAATTTTTATCTTGTGCAGGATTTTAAGCTGAAACATGCCAGCAGTAGTAATGGATCTTCTTCATCGTGTGAAGAGAGGGGTTGAGGTTGTTGCCACGACAGCAGGTTCTGTTGCTAAGGAGGCAGTGCAGGATGCAGTTGCCAATGGAGGGGCCTCACCAGGGCCCACAACTGTAGCCCCAGATGGGGGGTCGGGAACCACTGCAGCTCCAAAGGGAATCAATAAACTCAAAAACTTGGTAGCAGAAGAACTAAACAAATGTATGTTGGTCTTACTTTCCTTAGACCAGTTTCTGGAGTCATAAATTAATTTCATTTTCTTGACCTCAAAGGTTATCCTGCAACATCTATGAAAATGTGTGCTTTATTTCCGAAGTTCATTTTGAAATTTTCAAAATCTATAAAATATCTGTCAGTGTGTTAGAATTTTTTTAAAAATTATAATTCATGTTAGGAAAGTTGCTTTTATCATTTTTCATGAAACATTGATTTGATTAACTTCACCTTGAGCCTGTGTCTTTATTCTTTACAGTACCTATATGGGCATTAATACTTATAGCAGCTGGCGCCATTCTGTTTCTCTTGTGTTGTTGTTATTGTGTCTGTAAACGATGTATATGTAAAAAACGCAAGAAGAAAGAAGGCAAAAAGGGGCTGAAGGGGCCCGTGGACCTCAAAGCTGTCCAGCTGATAGGAGCCTCCCTTAAAAAAGAAAAAGTAAGTTTTTGATTGGTAATTTAACTCTATTTATTTTTCTTGTAGTGGGTCTTCCAATGTGGGCGCTAATTGCCATAGGAGTGGCTTGTCTCCTGGTTTTGTTGTGTTGTTGTTATTGTATATGTAAAAGATGTATTTGTAAAAAACGCAAAAGTAAGGATGGAAAGAAAGGGCTGAAGGCTAGCTTAAAGCCGGGACTAGAATTTGCCTTGAAGAAGGAAAACGTGAGTCCATGCAGAGAGAGCACTGGGAATGCTTAGCTTTCCTCACCGTCTGCTGACAGACAACTAACTATACCGCATGACTCTACCTGCTCACCATCATTTGGTTTAAATTGTTTTATTTAGATCAGATGGAGCATGCTTAAGATTCTTTTATTCATGTACAAACACCTATTATTTACAATTCAGCTCTGATAATTGCAACTCTATCTCAGAGTTCTGCTATTATTTTTCTGAAAGATTTTTGGATATTTTGTTGTGTGTTTAATCTTTGTGTCATTCTACTTTGAATTTCACAGTTTACAGTTTATCAGTTTATATTTGACATTTTCCCAAGATGCATGGAGGGGTGGGGTGGGTGGGGGGGGGGGGGGGGGAGAGAGAAACTGCATCATTCTTTATATAGATAATCAGCTGAATAAATCCCTCTATCAAACAACATGATCAAGTCAAACAGAAACTCTGCTTTTGTAAATTAAGGTTATAAAACATTGCTATTTTACCTATCCCTATGATACAAAAAGCAGATCAAATGATTGTCTAAAAATAAATTACTAGAAGGGCGTGCCAATTAAGGCTTAGAAGATAAAATTTATTATGTCATTACACATCTCTGAAAGACTATAAGTAGGTTGAGAGTGCTTAGGATCTAAGTCTCGTGGAAAAAAAATCATTCCTCATTAGCTTCAGAGAAAAAAGACTCATCTTTTTTCAGGGGACTCCTCCCATTGGGATGATCATATAATTATCCCCCAATCTACCTTGAAATTTCTATCAATTATTACTCTCTGTCAAATGTCATTTATACATTTATATTGTTTAATACAAATGACTTATTTCAGTGTGTAGTATAGATTTTAAAGACTGTTGTAGTTAGATGAAAAGCATGTGGTTGAATTTCATTCACTTTCTTATTTGATTCAATTTGAAATCAGACATTTCTTGATTTTATCAAGTGTTCTCAACTCACTTTTGAAGTTGAAAAAAGAAATAGATATACATATATTGTATAATTCTACATGGCCTAGAAAAAAAAGTCTTATAAATTTTGATATCAAGATATGATTTTGGTAAAAAAAAAAAAACAACTAAAATTTCAAGAATTTGTCTTGAAATTATGGAAACTTATAATTTAAGTTGACAATTAGAGCCCTGTTTGACCTTGAACTTGGTGTACATTTTTAGATTCAGCCAGATCTAGAGGAACTTGAGGTCAATATGGAACATGATGACGACAATGAGAGTACAAAATCTGAGGTCAAACTCGGGAAACTCCAGTTCCAGTTAGACTACGACTTCACAAAGAATGAGGTTTGTATTATCTGAGTACAAAATCTGAGGTCAAACTCGGGAAACTCCAGTTCCAGTTAGACTACGACTTCACAAAGAATGAGGTTTGTATTATCTGAGTACAAAATCTGAGGTCAAACTCGGAAAATTCCAGTTCCAGTTAGACTATGACTTCACAAAGAATGAGGTTTGTAATATATGTGTAGAAAATCTGAGGTCAAACTTGGGAAACTCCAGTTCCAGTTAGACTACTATTTCACAAAGAATGAGGTTTGTATTACATGTATCTGAGTACAAAATCTGAGGTCAAACTCGGGAAACTCCAGTTCCAGTTAGACTATGACTTCATAAAGATATTATAGTAAAAATTGATTTGTAAAAATATCATAATATTATTGTGATCTTTTGGGGAAAAGCATGATTTATTGCAATACATAAATGTTTGGAGATACCCATCCCTAGAGTTCACAGATGTATCTAAAATAGATTTGTAACAGTTGAAAAATGTCATCTTTAAAATTCAGGCTACATCTGCTGTATGATATGAACTTCTGGACAGCCATTTTGAAAATTAGGTGGAATGCAATGAAACTTATTCATATGAAGTACTGATCATTTTAAAATAGTAGTTGTTAAGAAAAAAAAATTGGTCTGCATCATTAGCAATTATTGAAAATGCAAATCTATATATTTTTCATAAATTACAAATGCAAAAGATCTCAAATTTTGAAAAAATATCACTATAGTCTAACAATTACCCTCGGAGATTTTCAGGACCTGGCATGTATGAAAGCTTTCATTCATTTGAAAAAGGAAAAGTAATGTTTGGATTTGAAATTAAAAAAAATGCTAAAGTTTCAAATATTACACAGTTATTGTGATATTTTCAACTTTTTTGGAAAATTTTCTGAGAAACTTATTGAATTTTTCTTTGTATATGAAATTTAAAAATATGTACATGCTTGTATAAATTTTTCCACCCCTCTTTAACAATTGTTGATTGATTAAGACAATAAATTTACAATTAATTGATAATCAAAGGTGAAGCAAAGAGTAATTGATTTAAAAGAAGGGAATTCCTAGAAAGAATTAAGGTACCCTTGACTGAGAACTAAATGAAGAAATTGATTCTCTTCACTATCAGTGAATTCCAAGGGAGTATTAACTACACGCTTTATTGGTAGCTAATTTTTGTGAGGAGATCAATTTAATTTGAATAATTGCCCATATAATCAATTTATAGGGGCTTTGAATGCAAGTCCTTCAAACTTAAAATCAATGGGTAGAGCTTTTTAGAATTCTGTTGTCCACTGTAGATCAATATTGCATCCTAGCTACAGGCAAGACTGAAAATTAATAAACATTTGAGACTGGGGTAGTATTACTGCCTTAATCAATAAAATCTGTCAAAAGCTATTATTACAAATCATCTAGAGACACAAACGTTTAATTAGTGAACAGTTTAATAACGTTTTATCATGAAATCCTTGAATTACTTCAGAACTCAATGTCAGCAAAAATACAGACAAACAGCAGACATATTGAACTGTAGATCACATCATATTCATATTAAGAAGATTAGGATTGTCTTCCATGGTATTTATTTTTCCTGGAAAAAAAGTTATGGGTAGCTTTGATTCTGAAGCAAAATCCCCTGTTAATGCTTGCGTAGTGCAGTGTCGTGTATGATAGAACAAATCAACAAATTATATAATTCAGAGTAGTATTGCTCTATTATAATTTTATTTACTTTATTATTAATATAGTGGTAGGCTTGTATTAACAATAAGACTGTGTATGCAATGGCTCCTATAAGATCCTGTGTCTTTTTCAGTTGACAGTGGGGGTGATACAAGCTGCCGATTTGCCAGGAATGGACATGTCAGGAACCTCGGACCCCTATGTCAAAGTTTACCTCCTACCTGACAAAAAGAAGAAATTTGAAACTAAAGTTCACCGCAAAACTCTCAACCCAGTTTTTAATGAAACATTTACATTTAAGGTAAATCTTCTTAGGAAGATTTGGCATATAAGTGTTATTCAATATAAGGTGTAATATATTGAGCAAGAAAATATTGCAATTATATTTTTTATATGTTCCATATCCATCACACAACATATAATGGCAGAAATGTCCAGTATTTGAAATGTGATATTGATGTGATACAACTTCAGGATCTTCATTATAAAGCAGTTTTAAATGTAAATGTCTCAGTAAATTTAAGATCACATAAAGTAAGAAATGGTTTATTATCCAAGCTTTGTTACAATTCTCTCTTGCTCTCTTGATAGATTGCATGTTTCAGGCAATATAAAAACTACCAAATTAAAATGACTTCTGAGTGTTCAACTGAGGGCCGTTTAATGAGAAAAAATACTACTGCTCCGTAAAAGATCGTTACTATGTGTCAGGGAAGCCATGTTTACTGCCACCTGACAAGCTCAGGGAATTATTTCCGCCTTACTTTAGAATCGATAACTTATACACCCAACTTTTATTGTTTTCTGGAAATTGCCTCATGGAGATATTTTTGTAACATAAAATTGCAATCAGACCGTACCATTAGAGGGCCATTGTAAGAAAAAAAATGCAATCATTCTGTACCATTAGATGGTCGTTGTAAGGAAAAAATTGGTTCCGATATAGATCCATAATGGCTCGTGCAAAGTTCAGCTCTTTTCACATGAAGAAAATTCTACATTTTTGACTAAAACTTCATTGTACTTAATCTAAGTGACAGAAAAGCTTAATCATTTCCTGACTAGGAAGTAAAGAGATTTTCAACTTAAAAATATTGAATTATGACAAAGAAAAATTGCTGAAGTAGCTAGTTTATAATTTTTTTTTTGTGTCAGGATGCTCCAAAATTATCAATACTGAGTGGCAGTAAGACTGCATGTGAAATGTATGTAACAAGAAATACACATCATGTATTGTAGAATGTCCCATATGCAGAAATAGGAGGGAAGACACTAGTATTTGCAATCTACGACTTTGACAGATTTTCCAAACATGATCAGATTGGACAGGTGAAAATCCCACTAAACACTGTAGACCTTTGTCAGGTGATTGAGGAGTGGCGGGACTTAATCAGCCCAGACAATGATGCTGAAAAGGTAAACAAGATCAGTTTGAAAAAAACATCAATGTCCTGAAAGTGGCCTTTTCTAATGAAAGTTAATGAGTTAATGGGGTTTTAACAAAATAAAGAACAAAATAATAACTGACAAAAGTGGATAGGCCTATACTGCATATACTAGGCAGTTTCCCTTATACCTAGCAGAAACATGCCACATATGCCTTATATTAGTATGTACCTACCTTGTGATAATATAACGGGAATATCCATGAGTATTTCTTAGTCAATTAAATACTCGGTGCCATCTCAATAATTCAACTAATTGTTAACATCCGATATTCATTTCCCACTGAACACATTCATATATCAACTGCATTCTAGACATGCATTTGAACAATAAACTGCACTGAAACATTGACACAGTTATAACTATACCAAGATCCTGTGGTTGAGGTCAGCAATGATTAAATACATGTAGAAGTCATAAAAATAAATAAATTATCATAGTCAAAAATGCATGATGAAACATCCTTCCTGTAATATTATGAAAGACAAAAAATTGTCAAGCAACCTATGTATAGCATTTCATCATGCACTGAACAGCAACAAAGACCATCAATACATGTAGTAGCTAGATAAATAATGATATCAAGCTGAAGAATGTGAATTATTTACTACTTGTATCATTGTGACGGAACTTGACCACTTGTGGAGTTTTCCGAAGTGTACACCGTTTATAGAATATCCTTCCAAAATACTGGTCGTATTCTTTGTAGATTTGATATATTTCATATTTTTTCCTTCAGAAAAATGGGCCAGTTAAAACTTTGATGAAAAATGTTAATTCTAACATATATATCTAAAACTGTCATTAACGAAGATTCTAACCTCCATGGTTCAAAAGTTATTAGGAGGATTAAAGTTTATAGCAGAAACACAGAATGACAGATGGTCAGACAGGACAAAAACAATACCCCCCCCCCTTCTCCAAAAAAAAAAAGAAAGAAAAGAAAATAACTTTGATCTTGGGGCATAAAAACAAGTTAAAGTACATGTACTCATAGTTCTATAAGCTGGGCTCATTTACAAAATAATGAAAAATTATTTCAATTCAATTTGCTGCTTATATATGCTTTTTATTGGTGAGTTTTTTTTTTACAATGCCAGTCTACATTTTATAGTATATACCTTTATTAAAGAAGCTCCTATCCAGTTCACACTGGCCAGGAGATTTATACAACACATTTGCACTGAGTTTTATCACTGCAGCATACATGTTGAACAATTCTAACACTTAGAACTGTAGAGACATATATGCAATTTGAGTACACTTTGAAAAGTAAATTTTACTGTTTTAAAGTTTTAATATATGTAATTTTAATTCACTTTATAATTTTTTCATAATTTAGCACAATTTGCAAGTTTTATTTTGAAGGTCGTTGGTCCACATACCAATTAATGCACCATAAATGTAGCTATATATAGCCAAGCCATTGCTAAAGAAAAGCTGTGAAACAACCAAAGACCAGTTAAGGTCAAGATCTAGTAAATGACTTTAGACCGTCTTTTCAGTGCTAGATCCATTATGACATCATAATCAATTTAAACTTTCCTTTTCCCGTATTTTACAGCTCCAATAGAATTATGTAGAAAATAAAGTATTTTCATGGCATTCAATTTGAAATCATGTGAAAAGTAATCCCGATACCTATATTCAATTTTACATTATTTTAAAGAAGAGGCTAAGAACATACAAATTACCGTTTTCTGAGAGACTGTAGGCAATCTGAATATATTTCCTTCGTCTGATATGGAAAAAAACTCCCATATTCGTGACTGGCTTTCTTAATTTTTCATTGAAAATGACAGTTTACAAGATGGTTTTTCGTCTTGTTTTCTTGCAAATTATGCCCCGATACACCTTATTTGACCGAGCTATAGTTATAAAGCATCATAAAAGGAATTTATTTCTCAAGTTTGAGAAATCTGTAGGCTCTTTTCATTTACTAGATCTTGACCTTAACTATAATAACTATGAGTAGACTGGTCCCTTTCTGATCAATAGATTGCAGGCAGGATACCATTCAAACTGTGAGATGATAACATTTTGAATGTACAAAATATACCCTTCTTTAGCTGTCACTTTCAAAAATGGGTTATCATATCTCAAAACCAGTTGAATTGAGGTTTTTAAAAAGTAATTATTCTTATGTTCAAAATTGATATAAAAATCTCGAGTATTATTTATGGAATTGTATGGATATACATGTATTAGTATACAAAGGTCAACGATCCCCTCAGCTGGGCCATAGCATATATTGCTTTGAATCCCGACCAAAAATCTAAAATTTGCAAGGCGTACTAAGAATTGACAAAACACACAGTTTATTTTATTTCCTCTTTGGGAGTTTATTTGTTTGCTAAAGTGGTATTGTCATTGTTAATTGATATTTGATCTTAAGTATAATTTTAATATATATATAAGTACAGTGAAAGGTCAAGGTCATGGTTCAAAAATAAAAACATCAAAACAGATATAATTTATGACCTCTTTGTGAGCAAGCTTTGATGATGCTTATCCATTACTAAAATGAGGGTAAACACAAGAAAATTCAATTAACTTGTTTGTGATAATTGTATTGAGGAATAATAGAGAATGTACTTCTCAGAGTGTAATTATCCACAAAAGTATATAACTCATGAGTTCATTAGTTGACCTTTATTGATTAGGTTTTTAATTTGATATGGCATATACAGAGTGTAGAAGTACATAAGAGAACAATCAACAAAAATCTGAAGTAGGGATTTATGTGATGTGGTAATGACAACTAGTGCATAGACTGGTTCCCCAAAGGCGAACCAGTTTAAAGCCTATAAGAGGAAATAAAACCTCTCTGTCAATCAGATTTCCCGTAGGATTTTCAATCTGCTTACGTAGATTGGGAATGCATCTCTGGTTTTGAATTGTATTTTAGATGTTAGCTAATTAAGGAAGTACTTCTGTAATCATCCGTATTCTGGCACCTAGGGACCATCTCGGAAAATAATGGACTATTGGTTCTCTTCAATGCAGTTTATATCTGTTTTGTAGATGATTTACATGATTTTAGCTTTACCAGATGGGCAAATCAATACACAGCCTTGAAGCCCATGCTAATCATATCTGATTTGTTTGTTTTGGTATTTTTCGTTTAACGAAGCTCACCATTTACAACACATGCAAAGATTGAATACTGAAGAGAAAACCCTTTTATGAAAAATTTTCAAGTAATCAATACATTGTCTTTATAATCATGCTTTCATATTTGCCCACCTATATTACAGCGTGGTTTGAGGGCATTATGGATTGGCTCTGAGCCAGAGCTGTTAAAATGAATAAACTTCCTGCTGGAAGTCCAGATAGGGGATTGACACACGAAGGGAGATCAATTGATACAGATGTACAGAACTGTCCTCATATGTGTGGATTCTGTATCTCTTAATGAACTTGGAAGCACTGCATATAATATACAGAATAGACTCATGTCAAATGTTTAGGAGTCTTGACATGCTTTAGAAAGCAGTACAAAGAAATAAATGGGATGGGATATTAGAATGTTTCACATTTTCTAAAATTAATGTACATGCACCCTTTCACAACAGAAAAGACCAAAAAAAAATCTTGTAATTTATGTATGGTAACAATTTGGAAAACCCATAGATATTTTGCAAAATGATACGTTTCTTTTAATTGGAGTATAGATAAGACTCACTGATGGTGTTAATTCTGATTCTTTTGATTTGTAGGAGAACAAACTTGGGGATATTTGTTTCTCCTTGCGGTATGTTCCTACAGCGGGGAAACTAACAGTCGTCATACTGGAAGCCAAAAATCTGAAAAAGATGGATGTTGGCGGTCTCTCAGGTAAAAACCAAAAAAAAAAAAAAAATAGAGAGAGATATTGGGATTCTTTTTAAATGTGTAAGAAAATTAAATCACATCTATTTTTTAAGCATAATGATAAAATCTACCATATTCCTGTAAGCAATGTAAGAGTTTCAGTCTGTGTTGTGTGTTGGATTATTCTTTTTTCCAAAAAGAATGTGATCTGATTTATATAAATTATCACAGTTTTTTTTACTATATTGATTGAAAAATATCCTAATTAAGTGTCAATTTTTATTTGTGCATTTTTCAAAAAAATTATTCTCCCTATTTAAATGCAGGAATGACTTGTTTATAGATAACCGTTTTAGAACTTAAAGATATATTTATTTTTGCAGAAATGTTTAAATAAGTAATTGTTATCTTGTTAATATTAACGATTAATTTCTGTCCTTTGAATGATTAAACAAAATAATTTGAATTCAAAATTTTTTAGCACTTGCTTTGTGCCCATATTTCACATAGGGGATGATGCTGGCTTAGCTAATATAGAAAATGTTTATTTTCAAACCATTTTTTGATATCTGTGTATATATATGTTGTGTCTGACATGTAACATTTTTTATATTCATTACAGATCTTTAAATTTATAAATCAGTGTTTCAAAAAAGATACATCAATGAAAAAAAAATACCAAATTCAAGTTATAAGAATACATTTAGTGGAAAATATGAGTTTAGAGCTGTAATTCTGTTTTAACAGATCCATATGTGAAAATAGCTCTCTATCAGGGCAACAAACGCCTGAAGAAAAAGAAAACGACCATTAAGAAAAATACCCTGAATCCTTACTTTAACGAGTCCTTCTCGTTTGAGGTCCCTTTTGAGCAGATTCAGGTATCTGCTTGCAGTCTGGGATATTTTTTTTTATTGTACATCCTCTCGGTGTTAACTATATTTTATCTTCTTTTGTAACCAGTTCCTCAGCTTAATGGCCAACTAAAGATGAGAAACAAATTATTTTCAAAATTTACTGCAGCCATGCAAATCTATTCATCATATTTAGCTTGCAACAACCAGGACCCTATCAAATGGTGTTTTTTTTTAAAAAGAAATATGTCCTCTAAAATTTTTTGTGCAGTGTTTCTTCTGTATTTTTTCAGAAATAATTTTTTTGAGCAGTGTTGGCAATTATGCTGAGGATTTTTTTTTTTTATCATGCATGCCATATATTTGGGTACTCTGGAATTTATTTTATAATGTTTGATCTTTTTTCACTGTTTTTGTTTAATCAGATCCATATGTTAAAATCTCTATGATGTTAAATGGGAAACGGGTCAAGAAGAAGAAAACCACCATCAAGAAGTGCACTCTTAATCCGTACTATAACGAGTCATTCACTTTTGAGGTGCCATTTGAGCAGATACAGGTACCAGTTTAGGCCACCAGTTTAATGGTGGCCATGTGTAACACAGTAGTGCTCTTTGTCTTTAACCTAGACCAAAAAAAGTATTTGGTGTACAGCCTAATGTCTTGTTCTCCAAAGTTTAACCCCCCTGCTAACATGTTGTTTGTGTTGAACAAGAAAAGTTTAATGGCTAATGCTGATCTTCCCAAGTTCCTAGTGGCTCATTATATGAGAAGTATTCATACATAGTGCAGCTAACAAACATATCCTTGTCTGGTATATCCTAAATGCCAATGACTGTTCACAGAAAAACAAATTACTTCTAATGGAAGTAATTTTATCACCAACCAGTAATTTAAACATAGTCACTTTATATAGTACATACAAAATGCTGAGTACACATGATGCACCTGAAGTCAATCATTATAATATTGAAGCTGTAGTAAATTTTCAGGATTAAATTCATGAGTAAAACAAGAACTGTAAAATGATTGCACTGGAATTGCAGTGTATTTATTGACAATTCTGTTTAAGATTTTTCTTTTTCTGTGAACTGTTTTGGCTTGGCAGTCAGACCTAACCAAAAGCTTGTATTACGTACACTCTGAGAAAATGATTACAATTATTGCTTAGCTGCAATACCTGTAATATTTGTAATCTGTAGTTGCTGATCACCATGTAATTCCTAGTGGTGTTTGAGTGGTAGATCCCACATGTACACATGACTGTTGGTGCCAGTATGAATGTAGTTTGTGTGTAGTGTATATTTTTGTGTCCTACTTCAGATCTTTGTGGTCAGTTGTGCGTCCTATGGGGTTGTACAATCTTAGAATATTTAACTTGTAAAAACACAAGTTTTTCAGCTTTAGGGAACCTCCAGCTCTTAGAAACAACTAAGTCATTTTCTGGTAAATTTCCTAATTCCAAATTAGCACATAGAGAAAATGAACACACCAGGTATTAAAATGGTAGGTATAATATATATTTTATGTAAATGAACTAACAGTAAGTTTGAAGCCTTAGAAGGTTAAGGTAAGTGCATGTTGCAATGTTTTATATATGGTATATGTATTGGTGTACATCATATTTGTATTTCTGTGCATGTCACATTTATGTCTCTTAATTGTCATTTATTATACAACTTCTATATTTACAGTTTTCTTAAAATATTGCATCCTATTTGATAATTAATTCACTGTCCAAATTTTACACTCTTTTGTTGAATTTTTTTGATTTTTCTTTTACTCTCACTTGTAAATAAATGTTTTCAAAGTTTTTAGACAAAAACTTTTGACGTATATTTTCTTGAATTAAAGTTGTAAAAAAAAGTTTTTAACAAATGTCATAATCTGAAAACAGTACAGCACATATTTCAAAGGATTTTCAAAAATCACAGTTTAAAATACCAACTAAGTGTAATGCAAAGATTCAATAAAGATTATTCATATACTAGGGAAAACTTTATTCTTTTTCTGTTTATGTATAGAAAGTCCAGCTGTATGTGACTGTCGTGGACTATGACAGAATAGGAACCTCTGAACCAATCGGGCGTGTCGTCCTGGGATGCAACTCAAGCGGAACAGAGCTTCGCCACTGGAGTGACATGCTGGCCAACCCACGTCGACCCATTGCCCAGTGGCATACCCTACAGGAAGTACCGGAGAAAAGCTAAAAATAAAAACCTTGAGACACAGCAGTGACACAGTTCTCTGCCCTTGTAACTTACTCTTCATTGTTATGGCGCTGTTTATGAGGTCACATTTTCTTAATGTAGCATAGATGTTGAAATATTTCGATGAATTGCCCATCATTAGTGAATTTAAAGTTTTGGATACATCTTACGTTGGAAACTGGGATCCGTTTTGAAAAACAAAGGAAGACAACTCTTCCAATTTTTCGTGCAATATCACCATAAACTGACCCATATTTATGTGTATATCCTGATATTTAATTCAATTACACAAAGCTCAGTAGATGGTGAGGTATTGAGTAAACATGAGATACGTGTGAAATATAAAAAAAAATATTTATGAATAATTATTATAATCCATTTGTTGTAAAGGTATATAGTTTTGAATTACTGAAGTGCATGGGAATCTGTTTTACATACAAGGCTATATGACAAAGATGTCTTGAAGTTGATGAATTAGTATTTTTTGGGGAGGTACAGGTTACTGGTTTCAGTAGTTTTATCATGAGGTTGTTGAACTGTAGAACCGGTTTATGAATATGTTCTGTGATAGTCAGTAATTTTTAGCGATGTGAATCTTTTTCTCAAAAGTCACTCTGTAATGTATTTTCTAGCCAGTTACACCTGGCTGTATTGATATTGATGTACTGGGTTATCTTTGAATTTTATAGAAAATCAAAGATTTTTTTTAAAATTTGCTGCATCATCTCTGTTGCTTATTTTCTTAAAGTTTAAAAGAGAAAACAGTACTTAAAAACTGATGTGTCAAAACTTTTAATTTTTTTCAAACACAAGGTAAGATTAATGCTTGAACTTAACGTGATTGAAAAATGATCAGCTATGATAGAATCTCACCTATAACATTACATGGAGAGATGACCATTTTCTGTGGACATTAAAGTAGGATGAGTTTCTCTGGACATTGGGAGATAACTATATCTGTGGTCATTATTGAAGGACAGCTTTCCTTCTGGATTAGAGAGATTACCATTTCTGTGGACAATATAGGGGAATGGCTATCTTTGGACATTGAGAGATGGCCATTTCTGCAGTCATTCTAGGAAAACATCTTTCTTTGGACATTAAGAGTTGACCCTGTGTTCTAGATGTAAATCATCCTGTCTCATTTCTGTACATACAGACATTCCTATCAGTACATTCCATCACGTTTACACAAACACGTATGTTTAATTCAGGAAATCCAATTTTTGTTCAACTTTACAAGAAATAATGGCATTTATTGTGAATTTTAGGTTGTTGGAAAGTATTTAAAATTTTTGTATATTACTTTTATTATTTATAACATTTTGAATAACTATTTATTAAGAAATCCTTTACTTTGAATTCCAGCTAAATGCCTGCTTTTACGTTTAGAATCTCTGAAAAAGACATTGACATTGAATACACATCAAAAATCAGGGATTGTTTCCCCTGAACAAGATTAACACTTATGTTGTTATTGTTGAAGTTTGTTTTGTTTAAATTCTTGTTTATTGATCATATAGGACTCAACCACAGACCTACTATGTAATGCATGCAATGCAATGTAATAAATAGTAACCATAGTCTATTTTAATTTGTGAAGATCAAAGGGCATGTCCCAAATTGTCTTTTAAACAGTGGTGTTACTTTAATGTAGTAATACTGTATCTCAATAGAAATCCACATTCAAATTCAAACTGGTCACGAATTTGTGTCAAATTATTAGACCTTCTGTAGTCAGTGGTTCAATAAAATTTGTGTCTGAAAATTACAATTTGTTCCTTTTTTCTTTTGGTCAACTTAAATTTCCAAAGTTTATTTTGGAAGACATGCTATCGACTTGAATCTGGGGACATTACAATTTTTCCAAACATGGAAATGTAGTATAAATAAAACTGACTACAACCCACGACACTGCTATCTGTATTCCTATTAAGGTTCATCGACACTCTGATAAGAGAGATAACTGTGTTAATGTCATAAATGTCTTTTATTCCTTTATAATCTTGTCAAGTTGAAGTGTCTTTTTTGTCCAATTTTGCCTCGCAAGCTATGCTATTTTTGTGTATATTTTACTTAAAAAATACATGTATTTCATTTGGAAAATCATAAGAGTTAGAGAAACATTTTATATGAGTGAGCAGAGGGTTTATGAACCTTAAGCTGACGGTGTCTTAGCGTGGTAGTGGTGAGCAAGACTAATCTAACATCTGAATCAGAATGATCTATTTCTCGAATGGCTATATTACATGTAATTAACCGCCGCAGAAACAGAGATAAAGACCACTTTTTTTTTATCACGAATGGTAACATCATGTATTTTGATGTTGATATTTACAAAATTTAGTGTATGTTCCCACGCTAAAATATAACAAGAACAATATTCTCACTTTCCACAAGTAACTTGAGGTTATCAACAAATCATAAAAAAAGACTTTTTCAAATTCAAAATGTATGTTAATAGGATTTACAAACTTGAATGGATATACCGAAACAAAATAACAGGGAAGGTTGATAATTACGCCACAGAAAAAGAAGATGGAAATTATAAGAAATCGCTCATATTTCAAAATTTTGGTCTTTTCGACTCTCGAGTGAAATCGAACTCAAAAATGCAATTGTTGTAGGCACCTCCGGCTTGTACAGCGACGTAACCCTTGTCTGCAAGGTCAATGACGTTGTAAGGGTCGTAGGTCTGCGTGTAGATAATGGTAGGAATCAGTCCGTGATCTAACCCGTAATCAGTCTCAAAATAGTAACCATAAGCACTAGAAGTATGGCGGTTTCCATCTCTGTCTGGCCAATCGATCTACAGAAATAAATTAACAGTATTTTAAAGATGATCACGTCATAAAATCTTGAAATCATGTCTGCAAGGCTAATAGCACTACAACACACCTATAGCTTCATTACATATAGCAAATTTTCACTGCACAGAACGTTTAAGTTTTTTTCACTCATTTGCAACGTACCTTAAAGCTTTGTTGTAGGGCTAAAAGGTTAATCCCAAGGATAACAACGGAACGGTTAGCCGAGGAGTGAAAGCGACAATCGACCATTATTGGACGATCGTAATCATTCAGAATTGCGTCTGCTAGAGAATTTTTAAATCGTTTGGTCCTGCACGTAAAATTAGGGTCCCAAGAAAAGGCAACTACTTTATGCACAGCAAAACCCCCGTGAGAAAGTGCGAGATCAATTCTGGACTTGTTGACTGCGTTCATGGTCTTCTCAACCTTCTTTGTAGAAACACAAGGATCATCATTCAAGTCATCAAACGCATCTATACCCAGCCAAAGTTCAAACTTTGAGGAATTTTGGTTGAGGAACGAGGTTTCATTTCCAAGAGCACGAAACAACTACGAATAAAACATGAATCCTCGATGAAATTGATATCAATCGTGATGGAAACAAATAGCAAATATGTGTATTAGTACCTGTTTAATAGTTCTAGAATAGTCATACCTCATGTACACTGCCTGTAAATCCATCTCTGAATGTCCCATTGACTTTCCAGTTCGGATTTATCCTTTGCAAGATCTTGTCTAAAGAGCTGTCGATTTGCGATACAGGTAAATTCTCTTGTGTCGGCCAGTAGTACGCAGCTTTTCCGTAACCACGCCCTTCGTTGATGGCTATTACATCAACAGAGGTTTTTGCAAGCACCCTCAGTCCTTGCACGTGGTCCTCTATTGTTTTGTTCGATCCGAATGTGGTCAAGTCCACCAAAGGAGAGATTGCTGTTCTCTTTTTGACAAGGCTTTTCACTGTCGAAGACAAAGCGGAATAGGCAGAAATAATGTTTTGTGTCTCTTTTACGTTTCCAAGATTGACCTCGTCAGAAATGTAATATCCTACAACTGTATCGTAAAGGAACTTTTTCGTGATGGGGCTTCTACCTCCGATGGTAGAGAAGTCTTGGAATCTGTTGACGGTGTATCTACTTTTGTGGTCCTGCAGGACTCGTTGTACCCATCCATAATATGCTGTCCTCAATTGCATGTCAACCGTTTTATCAGACAGTCGAGGGAGACGAGGGATTCCAAAATACACGGAAACGTTCCTGCCAAAAGCACTCTCAAGTAGAAGTCCATGTGGATCAGGGCCGGATAAAGAAGCGAACAAGACAATCACATTCTTCCCATTATAACTGTTGCACTGGGGGGAGCTGAAAAGACATAAAGCACGGACGTTTGAATGGTATTAATTTCAGGAGAGTCATGGTTTCATTTCCTACCAATATTGTATTTGCCGGACAAGGCCTATTTGACAAAGAGTAATGTTCTGCGACCGTTAACCTACCCTCAAAATTAAACTTTACAAGCAAACTCGAACACAGTCGAAGGCAAAAGATGTTACACAGCATACTAGTATTCAAATTAGGCACATACTAGGTAACATTTACCTTTGATCGTCTGCAGGTAACACTATTCTATAGAAAGTATCTTTTGAAATTACTATCTTCTTGTCGTACTGTGGGCATTTGAGTACGGCTTCACCGTACGCTTCCGAATTTTGATAACTTGCGAACGATAAAATCTTCAGACCTTTACTGGTCAGTTCCTTTTGCGCTTGCGAGAAGCAATCGTTCCCATCCTCCACACAATTCTTAAACACAGAGTCATTTTGCAGATCTTTCATTGAGCGACGGACCATAGGTGGCGCATGTTTCCAAACAGTGTCGCCGCCTATTTCCTTGAACAGATCTATTGTGTCATTCCATTCCCTTAGCGAGAACCGGTCCTCAAACAATGCGGCTGTAACAGGATAAACTGGGGTAGAGGGGACACAAGATACACACTGGAACGACAGGGATAATAATAACGGACAAAATCCTGATTTCATGTTGACTTTGGTGATAAGAGTCTTTTACTTATCTATTGTCTGATAATGCACTGCAAAGTCAAGGTTGCATGGAACATCAGGAAAAACAGAGAGCACGTAATGTTATTTTCAGTTTGTAACTTTTTGTGTAACATACAAGGTATTCCCGTGTTTATATGTTATTACTAAATTTGAAAATAATCGTGCACTGTTCAATGAATGTGTCTCAACTACAAAGAAACCTATAAATATAAGTGCTGCAATATCACAAATGAATTTTAATATGAAACACACAATTTATTTCTTATAAAAATGGTGGAAAGGAAAAGTTTGATGCGCATTGGAATAGGTAGAATCAGTTGTTTTCTTAATTCTCTCTCTTCTTTATCTCTCTATCTATTTAAAAAAAAAACATCATATTGCACTAAACTAAATGTGTAATATTGTAAAAAAGGTGTGAATAAAAAAAAAACCCAGATTTTTATTGGTATTGAAACGAGCCATTTAATTGTTTAAAACGTCAGAAAAGTCGTATTCGAATATGCATTCTTGGTATCCTTCCAGTGCTTGCACTTTGACGTAACCATTATCTGAAAGTTGAGAATCGTCCCATGGATCGCAGGCCTGAACGTACTCAAGGGAGGGGATTAGGGGATGGTAATGACCATAGTCACCTTCAATATAACAACCGTAGGCTGTATCTTGATGACGCTGGCCATCTTTATCCGCCCAATCAATCTACAAGGGAAATTAAAAGTAATGGTGCCTTTTGCTGATTTGTTCTCTTCTTTTACTTATATAACATGCATCTCTTGAATGTGTATTGAGGAAAATAAACTAAAACTGCTCACATGAAAACCAGAGCCCATGATGTTGATACCAATCATAACGACTGAAGCATTCTGTGGGGAATGAAAACGGCACTCGAATATAACAGGCCTTTTAGCGTCCTGTATGATGCCATCTGACAACGTCACATTATGCCTCTTTGTGGTGCATGTAAAATCAGGATCCCATGAAAATGCAATCACTTTTTGGACCTTAGCGGCGCCCTGTGACAAGGCGAAGTCTAATCTTCTCTTGTTAACGTTGTCCATTACTGAGTTTTTGCTATAGCTAGTGAGTGGTATGCATGGATCGTCGTTCAAATCATCGAATGCCTCTACTCCTAGCCATAGTTCGAGAGTTTTGTGTCGCTTTTTTAATTCTGCAGTTTTATTTCCAAGAGCTTGGAAGAGCTGAAAGTAGTGACACAGTGATAATAGTGGGTGAAATAAAGCATGGCATGTAACTCCTGCGTGATTTCTTAAGATTTGTCTCTTCAGAAGGCAAACCTATGCGGATTATATTAAGGGAATTCGTGTGTCATCTTGAAGACAGGGGTACATGTATTTTACTTTTTAAATTCATTTTAACAATTCAAATTCATCTCAAAATACTTCAAAAAATTTAAATTAGCAAAATTATCTTTTTCACTTTACACAGGTTTGGAAAAACATGATTTGATGTTTACCTCATAAACACTCCCAGTGAACCATTCCTTAAAAGTACCATTTTCTTTCCAGCTGGGATTTATTCGCTGAAGAATCTTATCCAGTGTCGGATCCAAATTTTTTACAGGTTGATTGGCTTGTGTCGGCCAATAGTAGGATGCCTTCCCGTAACCACGGCCTTCGTGCACGGCTATGACATCCACATACGTTTCGACAAGGTATCCAAATCCGGTCACGTGGTCCTTTACTGTTCTATTTTGGTCGAAAGTTGTCATGTCTATCGAAGGAGCAATAGCCAGTTTCAACGATTTACACACTTCCAGTTTGGCAATTGAAACCAATGAAGCGTATATCATCAGCATGTCTCCATATCTGTCAACAGTACCCATGTTGACGTCATCAGATATGTAATATCCTTTTAGTGTTTTATAAAGTGGGATTCGAATAGGTTTACTGGGCACGACTGAATACAACGAATATAGTTCCATAGTTTTGTTTGAGTATCTAGATTTGTGATCTCCCATAACTCTTCGTACCCATTCAAAATATGCAGGCAGCAGCTCTTTGTCGATGTTTCCGAATTCCCAGCTTCTGGGAAGGCGCGGCACTCCGAAGTAGACAGAAATATTCCTCACAGAGGCACTTTCAAGTAATATTTCTTGAGCGTCAGGTCCAGAAAAAGAAGTAAAGAGGACAACAACATCCATCCCGTTAAATTCGCATGACCCACTGAAAAATAATTCATACAAGACTGAGAATTGAATATAATCTTATATATCAAATTTCTTGTCCACTGAGTGACAGTGTTCGAAGAGATGTTTATAGCTCTAAAACCTAAATCTGACCCAAAATTAAAAAAAATGTCATTTGAATTTTTTTTGTTTGTTTTTTATTAGACTGTATAATTAGTCTAAGATACTTAAGACTCCCCTGTAATGTGATAAGAAGAATCCAATATCATATATCAGTATAAGATGTCCAAAGTTAATAGGATATGGTAAATGACCATAAGTTGTAATACAGGTACAACTTACCTATCATGTTTACCAGGCAAGACAATACGAAAATAGGTATAAACTGTCGTAATCCTCTTGTCATATTTTGGGCATTTGACAATAACTTTGCTGAAGTCTTCTTCATACTGGTAACTTGCAAAGGAAATTATATTAAGACCTTGATTAGCCAGTTCCTGCTGCGCATGCGTAAAACAGTCGACCTCCTTCGCTGTATCTTTGTCATACTCTTTGCACCATTTGAAAACTGGATCTTTTTGCAAGTCTTCTTTTGAGCGGCGAACCAGTGGTGGTGCTTCTAGCCACACGGTATCGCCATCCTGTTTCTGAAATTGGTCCAAAGTGTTGTTCCACTCAGAAACTTCCGTTCTATCGAGGAAAAGAGAAGCTGTAATAGGATAAACAGGTTTTCCTATACTGGATGCACGAATGCTGCGAAAACATCCGAGACATATAATGAATGTTGTTACAATTTCCATTTTATTGTAAACATTGATAATATAAGAGAATGGTCGAATTGATATGGATCAAGATCACTCACGTATGTGACATTGGTGAGATTATGGCTTTCAACGTTTCAATGTGTTAAAAAAAGGCTTGTTGGCTTTTTTTCCATTTTGCTTTGATATAATTTTTAACACACAATATAGCTAGTTGAAAAAGTTTATGTTGTAGGGCAAGATTATCTAAGAAAATATTCACAAAGTATGGAGATATTTCCTTGAAAATTCGTGTGAAAAAAATTAACCCAAAGCCAAAATGTGTAATTTTCTTTTGCATACTAGTATGTGTCATTACGGTACAGACATTGTTATAAGAAACATAAAGGCAAATATAAATTATCGTGGTTCAGAATTGTTGGTAAAGTTTATGGCACCGTCTTATCAATGCCAGCTATCATCTAATAAAGGTATCTTATGTTTATAGGTAAGTAGTGTCTCAATGTTCTCTTTACTGTTCTCTAAGATACCTGGACAGGTACATAAATGAATGTGTCAAAATACAACAAAGCTCACGTCTTAGATAGGGTATTTATCGGTATATCAAATTGGCACTGTTCAAGTTATCGATTCTGGATCGTTATCTTAAAGAAAAGATCCGTAACAAAGCGTTAACCTTAAACATCGATAAGGATTTCAAATTCTTTCTCAATATCAATTAATAATTATTTATTTATTCTTCAAAAATGCCCAACGCTGAGCAATCGAACGTTCAAGCACTTGTTATATTTTAATTAAATTGATCATAGATTAAGTCTCTACATTCATAAACCGTTTAAAGAGTCTCAAGTGTTAGACATTTAAAAATTCAAATTAGCAAGTCTCGTCTCGCCCGTGACTTCCGTTGCTACGGGTGTGCATACGTTAAAGCAAGCTGATTCTGAAGATGAGAAGTATTTACAACTAATAGTGATCAACGGATTTTATCTTTTTTTAACAAGTAAGACATACAAGTTATATGGTTTTTCTTATTTTCCGTAGATAAATTAATTTTCATTCTAACAGTCTGCTAATATAAGATAAACAAATAAGACTATTTATAATTAAAGAATGGACATTTAAAAGTTGCTTGATATATTTATTACAAAAACAAAACAAGAACATTTAGTTAGAAATATAGACTATGTTGTTTAATATGTTTTTCATATTCGTGAACATATCAGATTTTCGAGTGTCATGCAGTTTTTTTTTCTACCTAAAATGCTGAAATCAGTTAATATATATTGAACGTCTGTGGTTAAACTTAAAGCAAACAGTAATTGTTTACTCTACACATTTTGTGACAAGGCAATTTTGCATTGATCCCCCAATAGGTCATAAAAGAGCAATGAAATCTCGACTTTAAACTCCCTGTTCAGACCAGTGTTTGAAAAATAATATATCTGTATTGTGAGAAAGTCGATTTCAGCAGTACAACACAGCAGAACAAATTGTTCCCAAATCTACACCTCGGTCTGACATTTAAATCGAATCGAATCGTGATATCTTTTTATGGAGGAGATTATCTTGAAATATGTTGAAGATACGGTAAAGCACAATCCGGACGAATCTAAGTCACTCTTAGCATTTAAAATCTTTATCTCTTTTTAACAGGTTTAAAGTTAGCCAAATTATCGACTGTTTGAAATGCAACCGTATTGATTTATATGTAAAACTACAATAAACCATTTTCCTACGGAAATGCTACTTCATGTTTATGAATAATATGTTACGGTAGTTGTTTTGCAGCGGTTAATAAAATACGAGAAAAAGGAAAACCAAATCGAACAAAGCTCATATCTTAATACCCAGAAATCCTTATAGAATCCGTGATGGGGACAGGAAATAAAGAAAAATGATATATAGGTTACCATTTGAATGATTTTTTCTAGGTAATTATGGTCGTGTTGTGATTGCTGAATAGAGATGGTGGACTTTCAGTCTCGATACCGGCTGTATGGTCATGGGTACACCTCCCCGGAACTAAAATACCCGGTCGCCACTTACAAAGAACTTTACCATAACAAGGCGCCCACCATATTTCCTAGGAGACCAAGAGGTAAGCTTTCCTTATTTCTGTTTCAGAAACTTTATTTTCAACAAATCAAAACTTTTATTATTACATCGTTTTTAATTAATACAAGTCATGATTTGAAAAAATTAACCTATTGTGGTTGAGCAAAACAAAGTGTTATCTGTCAAATACTTCCACAAATCTCAGATAAAACGAGAATTTTCTTTTCTACTTAGCCCATGACTGCCGACAAGAGGCTATGAAAGACCTGGTTGATTCCCGGGATTGGGAGACTTGGCTTCTGTCCCAGGGACTCAAGGAGACAATCCGGAGCGCCACCTCCCTCAACCTTAAGGTCAAGGAGACATACTCAGACGGGACCAAAAAGTGAGTACATTTCGGTACTTAGAGTAATCTACAATTATATACTATAGACATTTGTTCACTGCAATGAAGAAGGCATCTAAAAAAATAGTATTCTCAACTTAATGAAACTGTGACATGACAGCTTTTTCTATAATGTTTGACATCAATGGATACTTTTGATGCAAAGATGCAACAGTCAAAATAACTTTAAAGTCTTTGTTGTGGCATTAACCTGTGAGCTAACATTGATTGCTTTCCAGGAAGCAGGTTATTCTTTTGATTCCAGTACCTAAGGAGGAGAGGTACACTAGTATGGTAAACTGTGGCTTTTGTGGTTTAGGAATGTTTGCTAGTTTGTTTGGGAGTCAATGTTATACGTTCAATAGAAAATGCACACAGTATAATACACTTTGGTAATGAAAAGAATGTTGGTGTGGATGGAAATGAAATATGACCTTTATTTTTCACAAAAGGTCAAGGACAGGGTTATTTGGTAGCGGTTTGTCTATAGGATTGCTATTGCTACTTTCATTATTTAATAGTGAATTTGTTTACAGCTATACTGATGAAAAATTACAACAATATTATTATATCACAGATTCGATAATATTAATATAAAGTTGAAATTCTTGATTTAAAAAAGACTATTTTCTTACTTTTACCATTCTATCAGGCCCGAAAAGCTGCTGTTCAATGTAGGATTTCGTGGCCATGGAGACGGGGATTTCAACTTCCCGCGGAGCGTGGTAACGACACGTGATGGCGATATTATAGTGGTGGACACCATGAACCATCGATTACAGATTTTCAACTCTTTTGGCGTATTTATTGGGAAAATCGGGAAAAGAGGAGTCGGTAAACTTCAGTTCTCCGAGCCATCAGACGTGGCGGAAATGCCGAACGGGGACTTGGCAGTGGCGGACAAACGAAACAAAAGAGTTCAGATCGTCACACAGGGCGGACAGTTCCGGAGTGTGTTCGAAACAGTTGATGAACCTTACAGTATTGCATGTGACTACAGTGGTCATGTGATTGTGTCTTCAACACGCAGGACCTTAGAGGTATATAAAAAGGGAGGGAGGCTAATACATCGATTTTCTATTCCAGGAATATCTCGTGATAGCTTTGGATGCAAAATATGTGTTAATAATAGACAAGAAATCATTGTATGTGATGCCGTAAACTCGACGATAAATTTTTTTACCTACGAAGGTAGATACGTTTCTAAATTTTCACCCCGTTCACATGGTGAAGGATTGACAATGATTCCCTCAGGAATCGCTATAAATAAAATGGGAGAGATTCTGGTGGCCGACTCCCTAAACCACACTGTAAACGTATACAATGATCGGGGATCGCTCATCAAACAAGCCATATGTCCCACAGATCAAGCAGGATGCGTGCAGGCATGCGCAGTGGGACCAGAGGGACACTTGGTGACCACGGAATTTAGTTTGTCTGGTCCACACTCCCTGAAGATTTTTCGGTATCGTCCATGTCACTGCCACATAACTAGACCAGGTTCTAGCAAACGACGCACACCTACCCCACAATCATTCAGATAACAAACTGTAAAAGCTGTTTGTTAAAAACGAATCTAAAAAAGTACTAAAGATGACTGACATAATAAAGATCTGTTATAAAACTAGATTGCGCTACTGTTCGCTTACAGTTTTAAGGCGGTACGTATTTCTAGAGCAGTGAACTGCAGCCTTTTAATATACGCTGTATCATCTGTGATATTTTTAGATATACATGTATGTTATAATACCAATAACAACTTCTCAATTTTACCAATATTTGCCAAGACATTTCTCTCATTACTCATGGATTATTGTTTTAAGTAATAATTTTCTTTGTTGTATTATTAATGACAAAAGAATTAAACTCTAAAGCTAAAGGTCTTTTGCTTATTTTTTTTCTTCAAATGTTTACTACAATTTCCATGTCACTCTAATTGACTATTTTCTAAAAAGTGCTAAAAATCAGTTTAAAGATTTGCATCAGCTTATTTCTGATTACTTTGGATTAATATTTAAAGTTTCTCAAACAAAAACGCGGAGTAATCCTTGTGCATGACGCCAATCTGTTTTTAAATTTTTGTGATAAGTGCACATAAACAATGGATTATCGATAAGCAAAACGTAATCCCCTACGTAAACAGTACGCTTATTTTTCATATATTCATGTGTTACAGTCCCTGAAACGTTCTACTTTCCCACATGAACGGTGAGCGAACGCTGAACGAACGGTGAACGAACGCTGAACGAACGCAGAGCGAACGGTGAGTGAACGATGTGTGAACGCTGAACGCAACTTGGTGAACGATGTGTGAACGGTGAACGGTGAGCGAACGCAGAACGCGAACGGAGCGCAAACGCGAACGCAAAGTGAACGGTGAACGAACAATGAACGCAAGATGAACGATATATTCGGAATGCTTCTGATCTTTTCCTTGCATTGAAACTATTTTATTGTATTATAATGTCAGGTGCAAAAAAAAAAAAAAAATAATAATAATAAATAAGTAAACAAATAAATGAATGAATAATTAAGTCAATAAAATAAATTCTCCAAAATTGTCCTCAGAAAGACGATGCATGCACATTAAATTTTTAAT